CCCTCAAATGTGGACAAACAAATCTGTTTGCCCTGCTAGGGGCCATAGTTCAAAAGTATTTTTTAAATTCATTACAGCTTCCCAACGATCTTACAAAGAATTATAGATTTTTGCTACTTCTGAGACAGAACAGACAGAGAAATAATTTCCAACATATTTCAAAATGAAATCTTCTGTGTGTACATTCATTATAAAATTTCAGATAGATTCAATAAACCTGGGAATCTGATTATAACTGATTTGTCCATTTCATTCCCTAATTTCTGATTCAGTGATTTTACCTTTGTCTTGGAAGTAGAAGACATGTAATCAAAGCTACCAATATGCTCCCAACTTTTCACTTTCAAAACTACTCATTTAGAAAACAGTGTAAAAGCCTGGGTGGTTTCCACAGTCATCAATAGTATGGAACACAGATTTCGGTTGGGTGGGATAAAAGTGTCAACCAGTCTGATATTTTTACATTAACAGGTTAAAACATACGGGAATTTAAGATAATGTGTCTTTCTGAAGAAAGCATATTTTCTTCAGGATTTTTGCAAAGACTAAGGTTTCCTTTGAGAAAATCCACGTTGCAGGTACCTGTGAACATCAAAGAACGAAGAGACACTCTGGTGCTGTTTCATCAGACCCGAGGGTAAGGACTGAATTTATGTCTGTCTGGATTTTTCTATTTTACAATGAGTTTTCATTATTATAATGACCAAATGAAAAGTTTTTTTTTTTTTTCTGTTTCTGAAAAGCTAGCATCTAGTGTTTGCCCTCAGATGGATTAGTTTTCACTGATTTCTGTGTGTTATGATGTAATTTATTCACCTGAAAAACACCTAGATTCAAACAAGAATTAATGATTCAAAAATCAAACACTTTGCTAATAGAAGACAATATCAGCTAATATCTTTGTAGAAAATGTAGGATAATGTCTTTGTGATCTGGGGGTGGGGAAGGACTTCTTAAACAAGATGAAATAGCACAGACAATAAGGTAAAAATTTGATGAATTTTATTATATTCAAATTAGAGATTTCCAGGCAGCAAAGGGCAAGATAGAAAAAGCTGGCAGACTAATGACATAGTGGAAGAAGACATTCGAAATCTCTAAAACAAACAGGGGACTTTAATCTTGAAATACAAGAAACCCACAAATCCACAAGAAAAAGACAAAAATATCCAACTGGAAAATGAGCAAAGGACATAACCAGGCAATTCACCGAACGGGAAATTTTTTTTTGAAATTTTTTTAATTCTACTTTAGATGAAGGTTTACAGAACAAATAGTTCCTCATTAAACAGTCAGTACATATATTGTTTTATGACATTGGTTAACAACCCCACGACATGTCAACACTCTCCCTTCTCGAACTTGGGGGACCATTTTTTTTTTTGTGAGAATATACATAGCCAAAGTTACACCATTTCATAAGTTTCTACATGTGCAATTCAGTGACATAGATTGCATTCTTCCAGTTGTGCTGCTATTCTCACTATCCTTTTCCAAATTATTCCATCACCATTATCTTCAGCTCACTGCCCCCAGGCTTCCCATCAAACCTTTTGAGTTGCTGTTGTCAGTTTTGATCTCACATAGATAATTCTTTTTGTTTTGTAGCTTAGATGAAGGTTTGCAGAACAAATAGTTTCTGATTAAACAGTTAGTACACCTATTGCCCTATGACAATGTTTAACAACCCCACGACATGTCAACACTGTCCCTTCTCAACTTTGGGTTCCCTATCACCAGCTGTCCTGTCCTCTCCTGCCTTCTAGTCCTTATCCCTGAACTGCTGTGCTTCATTAGTCCCATTTTGTTTTATGGGGCTGTCCAATCCCTGGCTGAACGGTGACCCTCAGGAGTGACTTCATCACTGGTCTAAAAGGGTGTCTGGGGGCCATACTCTCAGGGTTTCTCCAGTCTGTCAGGCCAGTAAATCTGGTCTTTTGTTGTGAGTTAGAATTTTGTTCTGCATCCTTCTCCAGCTCTGTCCAGGACCCTCTGTTGTGATCCCCCAACGGGAAATCTTGAATGGCTAATGAATATATGTGAAGAGACACTCAAAGTCGTCAGCAATGAGAAAAATGCAAATTCAAACAACAAGGAGAAATCACCTATTTGCCAATTGCCATAGGACTGACTCATGGCCACCCCGTGTGTGTGAGCAGAACTGTGCTCCGTAGGGTTTTTAATGGCTGATTTATTAGAAGTAGATTGCCAGGTCTTTCTTCCAAGGACCTGCTGGGTGGACTCGAACTGCCAACCATTAGGCTGGCAGCTGAGCATGTTAACCGTTTGCCCCACCTGGGACTCAGAAAGATGGAGAAGGCCAAGTACTCTAGGATGGAGGGTCCAGGTATCCTTGTGCATTGCAGCTGGGAGCACAGACTGACACAGCCACCCTCAAAAGCAGTCTAGCACTCTTCTGTCCAATTAATTATGCACACATAGTGTCAGTCTTGGATATAAAGCCCATTTTCTCACACAGGTCCATAGGGCCATGGATGAGGACATTCCACGAAGGTGTTTGTATTAGCGGGGAACCGAAGTACACCAAGCCGTCACTCCCTGGGAGACCAGATAGTAAACTATGGTGTCTGCACGCTACCGGAGATGATGGAGCGGTTAGAGGCAAAAACTGGATCAGAGGTCTCCAAGTGTTCGTATTTCACAGCACCCTCAGTGTCTCAGTTTTGCATGGTGCTCCTTTGTTCATTAGTTGCCATCAAGTCAGCCCCCCACTCCCTGTCCTGCATCATCCCCATGATAGGTTGTGGATTGGGTCATTGTGATCCACAGGATTTTCATTGGCTGAGTTTTGGAAGCAGATCGCCAGGCCTTTCTTCCTAGTCTTAGTCTGGAAGCTCTGCTGAAACCTGTTGAGCATCACAGCACCACGCAAGCTTCTGCTGGCAGACAGGCGGTGGCTGCGCATGAGGTGTATTGCCTGGGAACTGAGCCTGGGTCTCTTTCCCGGAGGGTGAGAATGTCACCGCTGAACCATCACTGCCCCCTCACAGTGCTCCTAGGCCGAAAGAAATGTCTAGCTGTTGTGTTTATTAGGTAGTATGTATACGGCTTAATACGTATTTATGTACTAACAAAAAAAACCCGCACAAATTGAAAGAGAAAGTCATATTTCATTTCATTCTTGAATAACCAAAATGAGTTACTGAAAGGATGCATGTACCTTCTGAGCACCGCACAACTCCTCACGTCTTGGAATCAGGCGGGATACTGCCGCCCTTCTTCCCGTTTCACCTTATCCCTGCCTCTGCTGAAAACCCAGCCTGGCAAAGACAGGATGTTACGGAACGGACCGCAGCACATCTAATGTTGCAACTGTACCCCACCGAAGTCAGCAGGGCAGGCAAATTCTCAGCTGCGGGTCGAACCGATTCAAAGCCCTGACTCAGTTATCCTGGGTCAGGACAGGGCCTGTCAGAGCCCAGTGCCTCTAACCCCAGAACGCATTTTCCCTTGAGCCCCGAGTCACCGCTATGGGTGGACAAGCTGCCCCAGGACTGGAGACAGCCTTGGGGGTATCCAGGCCCGGGGCCGCCAGCGGGACACACAAGGCCAAGCCCAGCGTAGAGTTGAAACCTCTGGCCCAGGCGTCCTCCAGGAAAGCCGACTGCAGATTTGGATGGTGGGGAGGTGAGGGGTGGCCTTGGGGGACCAGCGGCTGCGCTGGGAGAGCCCGTCCACAGCACAGGTGCTAAGCCCCAGCCGTGCGGCTGGCTGCGGCCGCGCTCGCGTCCCCGGCAGGCGGCGCCAGAGCGCACGCCCGGCCTCGTGA